AAACTGGAGACCTGGGGCTGGATCCCAACCCCGGCCAGATTTACTGCTGCTTTATGTGGTGGTTTGCACCTTTGCAACGCAGACATGAAACCTCATTGCATGCAAATCCTCCTCTCGCAAAGGCAGATTTGTATAATCATCCCTCCATACAAGAGTGAATAACTGCACAGCGCACTGGAGGAATAAATCTTCCACTATGCAGGACCAAAAAACATGGAGAAAAAAAAAGAATTTTAACCCCTGTGGAGAAGAATCAGGTTTTCTTCTAACAAGAAAACATGTGTAGCGTTTCAGTCGTGATGTTTTAATGCACACCTAGCCATTCTTGGGAAACTTGGCTTCCAGCATCACAGTTCACAGCAGAGGAGCGGAGACCGCAGCCCTCATAGCCCTGCCCTGCCGGTGGTGTTGCTCCACTTGCAACTACCAGTACAACTGCCACAGCTTATTTGTGGTGCAACATCACCCTAGCACAGTATTAGCTCAGAAAATGCCTAAAGCTCAAGTACCCTGAAGGAGAACCGTGCTTGCACTTTAGCCCCCAATATCTGTAACACCGAACTGCAACACTGCAGGGACGGCAGTGCCGTCCTCCTGCCTGCTGTCACTTCCCAGAGGCGCTGTCTGCCGCTCGCCTCAAGGGATGCTTTGCACGGCTAAACCGTCCCCCTCCCGCCTCTGAGTGCGGTCTGACAGGCGGACGGACAGACCTTGCAGCGTGCGGCGGCTGCGATGGGAAGCGGCCGGCGTGCCGGCAGGAGCGCAGGGCCTGCAGCACCGCTGCGTGGCCCAGGGCTCGCCTGCAGGGCCGGCGGGACTCAAAGCGCTCTTGCTTTCTAAACGCGCTCTGTAAGGCCGGCGCTGCCTGCCTGCTCTGTAAGCCCAGACACCACTTTGCGTTGCACCCAGAAAAGGGATTTGCACGCTGTTTAGAGGCTTTGCTCTGCTCCCTCCCCGGCTCTAGACCCTGCACATCTCCCTGGGCAAGTGGACGGAGCTCCCTGTTGACCCTGTTACCCTTTAAACTCCCTGCTCTTCTGTGCCCAAATGTATTTTTATAGTGCTATGTCTGACTCAAAAACACAGTAGGTTATTCTAAAGGCTGCCAATTAAAAAAAAAAAAAACTTGTGAAAAAAGTCTCTGAAATTTCCTTACAAATTTTTCTTTCTATCTTTACAACCTCCTGACAGGTAAATTATAGAAATCTAAGATTGCTCCCCGCAGAAGATCTATGAGATTATTAGGTTTGTCTCTAGGGAACTCACACATTATTGTCTGTGGATCCCAGAAGTGATAAATTCAATGCCAATCCTAGTATACGTAGATCCATGTTATAGTAACATGTCTGTAGCCAAGGGAGACTTTTAAGAAATCTGTGCAATGGATTACATCTGGAAAGTTCAAGAGTCCTTATCTAGTAACTCAGATGTCTACTATGTGAATTGCTGGTAATAGACAATAAAAAGCAGTAGCTCTTATATGACATGTTATCTGCCAACGTGGAACTCCTTGTAATGAGATATGGAACATGATCGAGAGTTTATTTTGCAAAGCAGTATTCTCTATGGTTAAAGAAAGCAAGCCTTTATTATCTGATGCTCATTTAAACTTGCCTTTTTAACATGACGGCCCAGAGAGGAATGTCGGTAATCCAGCACGTGCATGGTATTTGAGGCAAAATCTGCCCATGCAGAGATCTTGCACCCACTAACCAAGAGTTGCTCTGGCAGGTGGAAAAGAATATAGTGACAGAAATCAGCTTTTAGCTGTGACTTACCTGAGGGTCTTTGGTGAAATAATTACACAGTACAGGCATAAATTCTAGCAGTGACGCAGGACTAGGACCTTCTGTGCCAGCCCCAAACCCACAGAGGATGCTCAGGCCTTGGGGGTCACTACACAGAGACATGCTCCATCACCAGAGGTCTATTTCTTTTAAAATATCCAAATAGTTTCTTTGGCATCTCTGCAAACTGAAGACAAACTGATCTTTCAAGAAAAGTTTACTATCAGTGGTTTTCAGCCTGTACACACACTGTGGACTCCCCAGAGCTAACGTCTGATTTTAAGAGACTGGGAAAAATAACAAGAAAAGCTAGCTAAATGTCAGCAGCCTTAAATCTGCTATCCAGGGCCTGCACCTCTGTTGGAAGGTGCGTGAGTGTTAGCAAATCAGAAGAGACTGAAAATCACTGAGCCGGGATATTAAAAGATCAGCCTGATTCACTAATTCTCTGCCTTATTCCCTAATTCACTCTTGAGATGAGAAGAGACTCCATGTAGGAGTATCTCACTGCAGCATCAGTTCGAAGCCATGCAGATAAATGGCCTTGCAGAAAGCTCTCTCAGTCAGAAATTGCGTGAATTAGGTCAAGGCTGGGATAATGCAGAGATCAGGAAACTAGGCTTTTACATGAGCCAAAAAACTAAGCTCTAATGGCCAGGAGAATAGTATATAATGAGCTCTTAAGAAGAACAACATACAGCTAAGTCATACATTTCCTCACTGGCAGTCTGCTGCATACTGGTGTTTTAATGAAGTTACGAGGCAGCACACAGGAGTATCTCATCTCCCGCAAACTCTATTAGTGAAGACAAACATTTCACAATGCTGCTGTTATTTTTCTAGCATCTCATTAATCATTCATTGCTCATTATTTGCTTAGCCTGGGCAGCGTGCTCAGCTCCACAAAAATACGCAGATTCAGGTGGTCCCTGCCCCAGGGAGCTAACAGTGCTCCAATTTGTCTCTGCTGCCAGTGAGCATTCACAGTCTACAGAGTATTTGGAGGAAGGAACTGCTGCCCATGTCCTCCTTCGCAGGCAGCGGGAATGGAAAGTGATTTCCACCGCAATAAATCTAAGATGCTGAAGCTTTCCAGGCATGGAGGGGCAAAATCCTCCACCGGCTTTGCAGTCGTGTTATTCCACTGGAGAACGAAGGCAAAGATGCCTCCTCCATTTTCTTCGGATACCGCTGGGACATCACTCTCCAAGCAGTCTGGAATAAAGGTGATAAAATCAATGCTCATTTGCAACCTGCTAATCAAATATGGGCAGGCTCTCCACGGTGTTTACCTGTGCGCCTCACGGGTGAGCAGCAGGCCCATCCGAACTACAGAGAAACAAGGAGATACTGGTCTGCAGGCATTGCTGCTAGTAAAGACGATTTATGCTTTCAATGGCTGTCACTTAAATTGTAAGGTGACAGATTTTCTTTAGGCCTTGCAGAAACATTCACCCTCACCCTCTGATAAACATGGGCAGGTTGAAGGAATTTTCCAATTCAAGTGAGAGCTGCCAGAAAGAGACAGAGCGGCCGTACACCAGCGACTCGCGGCATTTAGGGGGGAATTGGTTAATCCTCCCAGCGTCCCAGCGTGGTGGGTAAGCGTGGGTACACGTGTACCCCTGTGTCATCAGGGGAGACCAAGGCAAGGAACGCAAGTCACAGGTTGCCCAACGTTTGGCTTTAAACCCTTAGCCCAGACCCTGCAGCCGCTCCCCGACTGAAATCCTCCCGCCTGGGCAGTCTCTCGCTGCCGGACGCAGCACGCTGGAGCGCGCTCAGCTCCTGAGCTCTCATGAGGCACGCGTTTTAACCCAACGCCGTATGGAGCTGGCATTCCCGTCGGGGCAGGTGATGAGCCAAGACGTTGGGAAGGAAGAGGCATTTGAAGCTAAACTAATTTAATAGCTGTCTTCTGCAGTTAGAAAATGCGCTGGGCCTGGTTGTGAACTCCCGAGCTCTCCCAGGTGACCCCACGGCCGGCAGTGTATTGCAAGGGGGAGCGAGGCCAGAAGTCACTGCCAGCCGCGCTGGCGGAAAGGGGCTTCCCAAGGTCTCTGCTCCAGGCGCCCACCGAAGCAGGACGACCACCAGCTGCGGATCGGACCAGCTGCGGCCTTGGGTGGTGGAGCTTTGGTTATTAAAAGGATATCCCCAGTGGCATGTTTTCTTTTGTTGGCTCCTGGTACCAACGTAGTTCCCCTACATGTGCCATGTGCACTGTCCGTAGCGTAGCCCCAAGGAACTGTGGCATGGACAAATCTTCCCTGCATGTCTCCAGGCACCGAGCAATTTACTGATGGGCACAAGGACTGCTCCGTGAGGGTACCAAGTCAAAGGGACGCCAGCCCGCCAGCCACATCTTCCACCTCAGGTGGACAAGAGACAAAATCGGGAAGATGGACAGAAGGCAGACAGCTCAGCTCAGCTCACGCCCCGTGCTGCAGGCTTGCCTGTCGTGCTCCTGCCTTTGCAGTGCTGCTGCCTATTGTGCAGCGCTTGTGCTTTGGGGGCAGGTGTCAGAGCTGCTGTGCGTTGGCCGAGATTGCCTGCACAGCCCGTGCTGTAGGTCCAGTGTGTGCCCTGGACGCACTACTGCTCCTGTGCGCACTGCCCCAGGTGCCTCTGTTGGCCTGCACCCCCCTCATACCTGCAACCTCTTCCAAAGCTGACTATCTCCAAAATTAAATTGCCACAGCTGATTAAAACTCCAGCTGCTGCTCTTGCCAGAGTTGCGGCACAGTAAGAGATGCTCAGACTTTGCCAAGGCTGGTGCCGAGACGCCCCATGCAGCCATCCACCTTGAGGTGATTCCAGTAATTCATGTATTTAGCTATTTAGCTTCATCTGAAAGGAAAGCAATAGAAGGGGAGAAAAAGTCTTGCACAAGACATGGGGATATATTTGAGCTGTAATGGGAAAAATCTGTCTTACCAGGACTCTACATAGGTCTTGCGAGCAAATTCCTCATTTCAGTATGTTTCTCCAGGACAGGAAAGGCACAAGCTGACACAAGCCTCCATTTTTAACTGGGGAAAAGTAGTCCTTTTTTTGCCCTTACATCATCCTTAGGAGCAGCTGACCCATCTATGTAGCGGTTTTCGAAAAATAATTAGCCTGAGGCAGATGTTGAAGATAGAAAATTTCAATCTGGATAATTAAATAATTTGTCAAAGTTACAAACAACTGCAAAAGGCTCCTAACGAGGTAATGCAGCACCCCGCATACCATGGCCCGGGAGGGTTCAGCTGGTGGCTGGGGCTGCCAGCACAGGGGCTGGCGGTCCTGGCGGTGGCCTGCTCCCGTGGGAGCAAGCTCCGCATCGTCGGTTCCCAGGGTGAGCGGCACATGACCCCAGGCTCGGCCCCAGGTGCCCTCAGCCTCGTTGCGGGCACAGAGCTCGCGGACGGTGTTGCGCGGACGCTTCCATGCCCTCCCTCTTGCCGAGGCACGGGCAGCATCACCGCAGGGTCCAGGCGGCAAGGACGCTGCTGGGGAACGTAGCACTGGTTCCCCTCGTTGGAGGACAGGGGATGGATAATTTTGGTCATTCTTTTCTCCCTTTGCTTTCACTCTAACGAAGAATAAGCTAAATTAAAAAAAAAAAAGGTGTCTATCTTTGCAACTCGTTTTGAACATTTGCTTACGTCTAGCTTTGCTCGCACCTAAGGGTCCTTCCTCTCTCGCCCCACGGAGCTCCCTATGGCTTTTGCCACAAATTAAGGAACATTTCCTTCTTTCCATAACTCACCAGCTCCGCGTCTTATCTCTGAGTGACAGTAAGGTCTCAGATCATGACAACCGGCGATAATCACCACGAAGCATCCTTTAAAGACCCCAAACGTGCAGGTCAGGTGACTGTTCTGGAGAACTGAAATTCCCTTGTAGCTTGTACTGTGCTGAGCGTGCTTCCCACTTTTTTTTCACCTTACTTTGCTGAGCTGTGAGGAACTATTTAGCCTTTAGTATGTTTTTCCCAGAAGAGCTGGAAGGCAAATGACTTGTCTGAAGTAATTGCTCCACTGAGAGCTCACAAAACTTTCTGAACCCAAGTCAGCATAGAAATTCAAGACATTAAATGCGAAACCCAACTAGCGTTATAGCAGTTTGGGAACTGGCAGGCCTGCATCCTGGCTAAAAAACCTTGCACAGTCCAGCAAGGCGTCCTGACGCTGCCGCAGAACAGCACAATGGAAAGGGTGGCTGATTAGCTGTGGGTTTTTTACTGCTGATGGGTGCACTTTTGACAGTCGTTTCCATTCACCAGCAAAAGACAATACAAATCTTATGGTTGGTGCAATTGCATTTCATTAAAGCAATTTTGCCTGTTACTGTAAAGATTGGAGGAGATGACTTTTGTCAGCACGTGTCACATACGCAGTGTATGTATGTTTGTATGTGTGCCTGCAAGTGGCGACAGAGACCCTTTCCCTCCCTGTTGGTATGATCCCAGCAAACCAGTCAGGCCAGTAAAAGGAGCAGACGCCTGCCTGTAACTGGCAGCGTACGACTGCTGCGGTGGGGTGAGAAACCTTAGTACTGAAAGCGAGGGGACTTTGGTGGAGATGGTTCCTCTCTTTTTGGACAAAATACGTAAATGAAACACTTTTCTTTTTTTTTTTTTCCTGAACACATGTGGAAATCTGAGTTGTGAAGAAGTCTGAAAATGCTTTCAAATGAAAGCAGGGAATGGGTGATGGGAATGGTGGGAATGATGGAAATGAATGATACAACAGGGATGTTGAATATGTCAGAAAAAAATGAGATCCCTTATGTGTCAATGAGCTGTATTTATCCATAAGATAAGCTTTTGAGAGGAAAGTCGATATTGCCTTTGGGATATTTGACATGACCACAACAACCAGAGTTTATAATGCGGTCCCACAGGAGAGAGACTAGCTCACTGAGAGCTTTCTAAGCCTTTTTTCCACGCAAGCGGCTGTGATTGCACTGTGGTCCCCGACAGGGAGTAGGAAGGAGCCTTTCCATGCACAGCCTGCCGCGTGCAGCTCTGGCTGGTCGCAGCAGTACACGCGGAGCTAGAGTATGTGTCCAGTATGGGAAGCGAGCATGGGTGAATTTTCCCACTATAGCATCCTCTGCTACCCCAAATGGCAGCTTTTAATATTCACCAGCCTCATGAAAGGCATCATATAGGGAAATTTGAGCAGCCCCAGGGCAAAGGTCTCTGGCACAGGCGAAGGTATGTTGCAGACGCCTGCCGGGGGGGTCCTGGCACACGCAGGTTGTGTATCCGAGAGCAGCTTTTGCCACGAAGCCACACTCCAGGCTTTCACAGCTACCCTTTTAGAGGGAAATCTGAGCTAGAGGTGACCCGATGTGCCAAAGCCGGGTGCGTGCGCTCCTACCACCCCTGCCAGGCTCCGGGCTGGGGACTGGCTTCGCCGGAGCCAGCCCTGCGACGGGGGAAGAGCCAGGAGGCAGCGAGGGACACAAATGAGCTCATTTGCCTCGACCGGCTCCTGGCAGCC